CGTAATCAGAAAATGTGTGGTATGTCGACGTCTGTCGGCTGCAACGGGACGACAACTGATGGCTCCTTTACCGCTCTGCTGGGTCCAAAGTTTTTTGGCGCGGTTTCAGAGCTGAGAGGACGAAGGAAACAATAAGAACCTAGAAAGGTTAATGATCTCTTGTTGCGTCATGGGATTCAATGGCATTTCATCAAGGTGGCGTGTGGGAAAGAATTATACGCTCCGTCCGACGATTACTTATGACTGTGACTACTGAACAAAGACTGATGAAAGAGACATTGAGTACATATTTCATCGAAGTTGAGAAAATCCTGAACAGTCGTCCTATCGTGCCGATAGCCTCTGGTGAAAGCAAAAACACGGCGCTGACACCCAACAGCTTGTTACTGCTGCGAGATGGTGAGGGTCTGTCTACTGGAGAAAACTTTCAGGACCGGTATTTGAGGAGATGGAGACAAATAAATTACTTGGCTAATGTGTTCTGGAGCCGATGGTTGAAAGAGTACTTGCCGATATTAAAAACTCGTCAAAAGTGGCTTAAAAGGCGTTGGAACTTTCAAAAGGGAGACGTGGTGCTCGTATCTACAGATAGTCCAGGACGTGGAAAATGGCCAGTAAGGATTGTAGAGAGCTGCGAAGTAGATATGGATGGATTGGTCCGTAATGTGACCGTGCGCATGAAATCTGGCACCCTTTGACGCGACATCGGCAATATATGTCTACTAGAGGGTGCCGACTAGCCCCGGGAGAAGGCTAGGAGGTGTGCAGGTGTACTGCTGTAAATCCTGTTATCTCCAGTGTTTCGGGGGTTAAGTAGGTAGGAAAGAGCCATGACTGATTAACTGAAAGAGGAGCTCTATTGGTCATGGAGGGATTTTGGTGGGAGACGTAGAAACTACAGAGTGAAGAAAGTCTCTCCTCTCGGTCCAAGGCGAGACCACTTTATTTCCGCCTTCCAATATCCCCTTTTTCGATCCTATGTGCACACGTTCTCTTCAGTCACTCTTGATTTGACCTTGTTTATCGCGTGATCCCTCGTGTTAGTCATTGCCTATGGTTGTTTGATGACGGATTCTTGTGTCCAATGACCTTCTGTATCTGCCTGTCGATCCCACCCGTGTCATTGTCCTCTGCACTAACGTGGCGTTGGTGTGTCATTGCCCCGGTCCATAACCGCCCCAGGCCTAATATGCCCCGTCACTGGCCTTATGGCCTCATTTGTTGTCTTGCTCTTTGCGAGTGCATACCTGACTTCGATCACCGGCTGTTTACGTTTGGTGAACATAAATTATCACTGTGGCAAACAGATCATTGTCGATCTGTTTGAATTCATCTTGGCTGTTCACGTTTGGTGAACAGAATCCCTTACTTGACCTAACAGGTATTTATGTTCCCTCTTTGTATATTTATTTANTATTTACTTGTCTTTATATCAGGTCTCTACTCATTTGTTTGAACTCACTCTTTTGGCTGTAAAGCGACTGGACCGCATTGTTGAGGTACGTTGTTCTTTGACTCGCCTAATAAAATAAACATTACCATACGCATTGCTAATCAGTATCGTTCTGACTTCGGGGTTCGCATTTCGCTACGCGTTGCTCAACGATCTCATTGACGCTATACAGCACGATCGTAGGATAATCGATTACACTCGGGCTACGGTCGAGCCGGAACGATTCGTTTTGGAAATTACAACGGGCATGGTCAGTCAAAGGGCTGTACCAGAGAAGAAATGGGCTCATTGATACTTGGAGAAGATAGTGTTATAACTGAAAACCAGAGTAAAGCTGATGCATTTTGCGCTTACTTAAGCAGCGTGCAAAGGTTAGACATCGGTGAGTTAAGTGCTTCCCAGCCCTCGGCAATGAATGTAATGGAGGAACCACGGTTGCATTCAATCAGCTATTTGAGGTACTAGGCAGTCTCGAGGTATCCAAGGCTCCGGGAACAGACGGACTTGGCCCAGCGATCATCAAGCCGATCTCTGATATAATTGCGGGGCCGATCTGCAGCCTTTTAGTAAATTCCTAGTTGGAGGGATCTTACCATATGACTGAAAAACAGCTTCGGTAGTAGTCATACACAAGGGTGGTAAGAAAATAGTCGTTAAAAACTATCGACCTGTTAGTTTAACTAGCATAGCGTGCAAGGTAATAGAGAAGATAGTTAGAACACACCCAGTAAACCATCTGGAGCGGACCATAATCATGACAGCAGCACAACATAGTTTCATTAAGAAAAGGTAATTCCTAACAAACCTGTTGTCATTTATGGAGAACGTTACTGCAAAGATAAATGAGGGGAAAATGTAGATGTTTGCCACCTGAACTTCAGAAAGGCTTTCGATTCAGTGAATCATCGCCTGTTGTTGATCAAATTAGAATGATTCGGAATCCCAGGACAGTTTCACAGGTGGATAAGTGCATTTCTCTCACAACGATCATTTTATGTGACGGTTAGTGAGAAAAGGTGAACACCAATTCAGCTGACTAGCGGAGTTCCACAAGGCTCAGTATTAGGACCGCTTCTATTCCTTCTCTACATAGACTTGCCAAGCACTCTGATTTCATCGTGCTACATTTTTGCAGATGACTTCAAAGTGGTTGGTTCTAATGGGGGAAGTGATCTGACGCGGGATTTAGATCAGGTATCTAGATGGGCAAAGGAATGGGACCTAAGTCTTAACGCAACGAAGAGTCATCTGCTCACAGGGACATTTGACAGACTGGAAGTTAACTTAGAAGAGCAGTAGTACGCTATCGAACTCGCTGCTAGGGTTAGGGACTTGGATATAGTAGTATAGACCAATTTTAAGTGGTCTGACCAGTGTGCAGTGGCGGCGCGCAAGGCTAGGTGGGATTATTCAGACTACAGTCCGTCCTAACATGCAGACGACCGGAAGTCTTCATTCCCGTTTACGAAGCCAAAGTCAGATCACACTTTGAGTATTGTGTACAGGCTTGGTCACCCTTATTCAAGAATGATGCTGCCTGTTTGGAAAAAGTTCAGAGATTGGCCACCNAAAAAGGAAGAACATATGAGGAAAGACTAGAGGCTCTGGGGCTTTTCTCATTAAAAAGAAGGAGACTGCGAGGAGACCTGATAGAAACCTTCGAAATCATGAAGGGAATATCGGGGATAGGAGCGGACAGTCTTTTCACATTAGCTCCCCAACAAGGCACTAGGGGGCATGAGTTGAAGCTCATGAAGCACAGGTGTCGGCTAAACATGCGGAAGGGCTTTTTCAACAATAGGATAGTCGACAGTTGGAACCGGCTTCCCAAGTGAATTGTTGACCTTCAAACAGTGCAAGCATTTAAGACTGCAATCGATAAGCGATGGGTGGAAGTTTTCCTATCTCCGGCAGTGTAGATGAGTGTAGGTGTGCCAAATGTTTAGGATGCCATTTCCCTTTTTAACTGGTACACGTAATGAAACGCTCATGTCTAACAATTCACTCGCCAACTTGGTAAGATGAGATCCTTTTACTCATTTTTGATTCAGCAGAGCTGGG